CGACTTTCACCTCGTTCAAATGTCAATTTCTGCTTATTCTTTTCTTGACCTCTGTTACTTAATTTTTTAACCCAATTCAAAGACCAATCCTCACAGCTCCCTACTGTCTAACTTGATCTTTCCTTAATACAGGGATTTTGCAAAGCTAGGCATCTCTGTAATAAGTCATACATGTGCGGGTAAACAAAGTCGGTGTCAGCATGGCTATTTACCGACAAAAACATTTTCAGTAATAAGAGACGTATTTCATAAAACTACCGGCAATTATCGTCGAATTTGAATATGCACAGTGTTTAAAAGGCTTCATATAATTAATCACGAAGTTTACGCTTACCCTCAGGCTCTTAGCAAATACCAACATACCTCTTAGAAGAAAGTTGATCATGAGCATTATAAATGACTTGCTGCTGAATATGGTTTATAAGCAAATAATAATTTCCCACAGTAAACGCGGTAAATATGTTCGCATTATCCTTCCAATGTCTTCCAGACTACTAATATTAGAATAATCCTGTTTGCTAATAGTTAGATATAAAAACCACCCAATTCCCTGAATCAGACCAATGACCGGCTAGACAGTAGATCGGACTTGGTCATGGGAATAAACTTTCCACGCTGCCTATTCGTTCGTTGATCACTGCTTTTCAACCCGATTAAGGAAACTAACTCTGCAGCTCCTTACTGTCTGTCCTGATCTACATAGCTTGAAGATAGGTATTTACAAAGCTAGGCCTCTTTGTAAAAAATCATACACATGATAGGAAACAAAATCGATATCTGCAGAGAAATTTACTGACAAAAGTATTTTTAGGGAGAATTACCCGAGACCTTTTTATACCAACTTCTAAAGATAGTACCACGCGCGATAAAAAGTATCAAAAGTGCCTTTGAGGAACTTATTTCGGGCGGTAATTTATAAACGTACAAGTCATCTTCGTCGAATATAAATAGGCAGCAATTGCAGCAATTATCGACTCGAATGTCGGCCATCAAGCTATGATCACACCAAACGCGACAATCCCGGATGAAGGGGGGAGCCGTGGACGTTCATAGGTATGCGTTAGCATGGCTACTGCATCTTATAAATGCCGCAGCCCCTTGTGCAACAACCACCGGTTTCCTCTCTTTTATCTCTGATGATATATTCGAGTAGGAATCGGAAACGTCAGGCTAATAAAGTTTTTGTCCCGGCGATCGTGTCTGCTTCTTCAATAGGCGTAGTGTTAAAAGGCTCCTAACAATAAATCAAGGGCTATTTTAGCCTGCCTTCAGGCTCTGGGCGCATATAAACATGCCTTTTAGGAGAAAGTAAATTGGAAGCATATGTAAATTAACAACCGCTAATTTCATTTTATAAGTAAACAATAGTCCTCTATCCTATCGTTGTGCTCTTAAAGTCAACGTATATTATATGACTGCATCATCCTTCCTATGTCTTTCAGACTACTAATATTAGAGTAATTCTGTTTGCTAATGGTTAAATATATGAACCATCTCATTCCCTGTGCTAAACAAGTGACCGGCTTGGCGAGTTGCTTGGGCCTGATGACGAGAATAGAGTGAGATTAACGTGTATGCGTACTTTCCTCTCTACCAGCAATTTGAACGGTTAGAAGCTATCCCGTTGCCCCTAAAGCTAACTGATGGCATAACTTGGACTGCGCACTTAGCCCAGTTCGGTAACGAACTGGCGGACTGAGAGACAGACTGCAGTAAGTCCTTTTTATATGGATTTTATGCCAGCGCCACTCATCGGGGTCCCAGCCATGCCCCCTACTTTTGTTGTGGCATAAAACCCTAGTCAACGTCTGCTGCAGGCAAGTGAGTATAGTGGTACGCCTAGGTTCCTTTTTATCGCCATTTCAGCCACTTGCCTCACATCTCACCTTCAGTCTTCTAGACTTCGTGATGAAACCGGCTCTAGTTGAGGGAAAAAGAGAAGTTGCAGTAGATGCTGTGTATGTCTACTGTCACTTTTAACTAGTCCACGCGCGAATCCCCGTCCTTGAGCTTTCTGTGTAGTTGAGCACACTATGGAACTCATCGGCAATGGCGGTCGGACTGTCATATAAGCCACAGATGATATTAGAAATCGCCAAATACAACACCAAATACGAAAATTCGAAACCCAGATAACGGCGTATTTTGAAAGAAGACCTAAGGTTACTGATCGCCTATCGAAATTCATAGATGTGATTAAACTCGAGTCGTCCGGCGGGTCCTCGTAGCTCAGGTGGTTAGAGCGTTGGCTGTACTAAAGCCTTCTCCTTACTGCGTTGATTCGAATCCCACCGAGGCGCCGAGTTTTTCCTAGTTGGGTCAATATGAATTACCAAAATTCCTTAATGTGTTTTGACTAGAAATAAGTACTTAATTATTGTTGCAAGATAAGTTGCCGTGCCCAAATAATTTTATAAGGATTAAGCTGCCTCAGAATGAACTCTTTTTTCAGCTGCCTCTTAAACCACACTCTGTAAAAAAGGACTATCCAAGTAGCACATATTTTTCTTATTAATTCCCGATGCTCTTATAAATCAAAAAATGTTATACATAAAACATGCATAAACTATTCTTTCTTTTACTAGTTTGTTAAAAATACAGGTCTTCTTTGAATTTTATACTTGACGAAGGAATATAATTTGGTCATAAAAAGTTTCTTGTTATGAGATTTCATGAAGTAACACATCTACTATATGTGCATTTTTGTTATTTTTTTTCTTTCGCTAAAGTTCGCAATGGGGTGAAACGGCATTTAGAGCGTTGTGCATTTTTTTGATTATCCTTGTTGTCGGGGTTGTTGGAATAAATGAATGAAGCTTGCCCTGTGCCCAGAGGAGTCTTCTGATGCCAGGCAGAATAGTTGGGAGTATCAGTTTTGATATTCCAGCGATATTAGGGCCCCACTTCTTTGTATTCCAATTGGAAATTTTGACCTTTGCCGTCAAATAAAATCTACGCATGGTAAGGTTGTTAAAACCTGCCTGGGGAAAGAAAAGCGCTCTGAGCTGTGAAAAGCACCGAAAGGCGACGTCACACAAGCCTATTAATTCGTAAAGCCATGGCTTTATTCGTAGGATGCAATAATCGCTAGAAATCCCGAGAGACGTAAATTTCAGAATTAAAATATTTTTTTAAACCGTAAACCGTTCCAAGCATAAAGTGCTTACCTGTTGAAAGCGTAATATCACGTTTCTTAAAACAACTGCGCAATTGTATTCACCATATTGGAAGTGTGTTCTATTGTTTTGAAACATGCAGTCAATTATCTCCGCATTGCCCCAAAAATAGATGCTATAGAAAAACCTTTCCGTATCATTAGTTTCCTCTTGGACGTCTATGCGTTCAATACGGTCTATCAGATGTGCTGCAATTTTCACATGACGGCTTAAATCTTCATCGCGTGGGCACAAGTGTTGTCCTTAAAAAAAGTAAGGCATTAGACCACTGAGTATGCAGACGATGCTGCATCAAACTTCATCATTTATGGAAAGTTCTAGGCTTGATTTGCTAAATACGACATCAAGATAGAAAAAAACGTGTTCAAATTACGCCGGACAGATATGCATAGAATGATATGTCATGCAGTACTCCTTGATTTCATTTTGGATAAATTGCACAAGCTTGAAACATTTTGTTTGAACTTCTTTGAGTGTTATGCTGCGTATAAAATCCACCCACAATCAACGAAATTGAATACAAATTCGGAACTGAATACTAATTTTCTTAAACAGACCTTTTTATTAGACACCATCACCCGGAAAAAATACTCAAAGCATCAATTGTGCTGCAGAAAATCCTAGGCTGCAATTAACACTTGCATTACGTTTCATTATAGATAAAGGCAAAAGATAACCTAAATCATAATAAATGCAAGAGGTTCTGCACTGAGACACACAAAAATATGCAATATCCCATTGAATGCAAGGGCCATTTCGATTCAGACCTTATTTGAATTAGAGTACTAGGGTTAAAATAAACTCGTTATAATAAACATGAACTGGGTCTATCGCGTTTACTGAAAATGTGCTGGCATGCGCAGCATCCTGTTGCACATAGCACGCAGAAGACCAAACATCCATAAATCATTTGCAAAGCGAAGAAACTGCTGTTAGTATGCCTTCTCTGTCAAATATTACCAGCCATTGCATGTTGCCATCCAGTCATACAGAAGATGCGATGCTTGATACTGAGCAGCTTATTGGGGAAACCTAAGGGCGCATATTGTATTCAAAGACAGGCTAAAGATTACTTCATTGGGCGACAATAAGGACAAACTCTCAAACACTTGAATTACCTTTTTCTCACGCACATATGTAGTGTACATCAAAGAAACATAGGCAAAGATTAAAGTGCTTCGTGAACTAATAGGATTAAGTTGTAGCTGACACAGAGCCAAGCGCATGGGCAATATTTCCCAAATCAAACTAATAGTATTAAGCCAAAGAAAATAAAAAAAAATTATTGCACAATATGCGGTTTACTATGGCAGAAAGGTTGTGCTGAATTTCGTCAATATGGAAGTCAGAAAAATAAAACATTATCCTAAAGCGAGATATCAAGAGGGGGTTTGTGATTAAGAAATTGGGAGAAAATTAGAGAATGCTAAATGAGAATCACAATTTTATATCCATAAAATTACTATGGTATCTGCATGATTTACTTCCTATACTTCCTCTGCAAATAACCAATAGGGATTTCAAAGGTATACACCTAATTTCGCTGAAATATGATGATACTAAATAAGCAGCCCTATTTAGGAATAACACTGCCTACCCCCGCGAGGATGACATGGCTAGAAGCACGCCGTTTGCGGGCTGACCGTTGTCGCGGAAGTTAATCTCACGGTCAAACAACCAAAATCGAAACAGCACTCTCTTCTCCCTCTCCATTCACCCCCTCCCCTCCGTCCGAGCCCACAGGCTGCTGCGGTGAGTCCGTTCACTCTGGCAACCATTTTAGACAAAGAGGGCAGCAACCGACTGGAACGGAGGACAGCACTAATGGCTTGCCAACTGGCGCACTACAAGGTGGATATCGCGGCACTCAGCGAGACCCGCTTCTCCAAACAAGGCCAACTGGATAAGGTGGGTGCAGACTGCAGCCTTCGCCATCCGGAACGACATCGCTGGACGACTGCCTTGTCTGCCGCAGAGCATCAGCGATCGTCTGATGAGCCTCCGCCGGCTATCATCATCAGCATCTACGCTCCGACAATGATCAGTCTTGCTGCCGCAAGAGCAAATTCTACGAGGACCTGCATGACCTGCTGGCAAGTGCGTTGGAGGCGGATAGGTGACATAATAAGTCCTAGTTGGCATTAGCGTTCGCGTCGGCACAGGCCATGCTGACTGGAAAGGAATGCTGGGTCCCCACTGTCTCAACGGCTCTAAAGTCAGTGGTCCGCCCTCCCCACGACGAACCTGCGCGAACACCGGCTCATCCCGACGAACATATTTTCTCCCTGCCGGAGCGAGAGAAGGCCATCTGGATGCATCCTCGGTCTCGTAAGTGGCACCTTCTGGATTATGTCCTCGTCCGGATTCAAGACAAGTGGGACTTGGTGGGTACAAAGGTGATTTCGGGTACCGATAGTTGGACCAATCATCGTTTCGTCAGTTCGCGGATGCGGATGTGCCTACAGCCTCACAGGAGACTCCAAGGTAAGCAACCCCCAGGTAAGCTGAATATTGTTTTAATGTCTTTGCCTGCACACAATCTCTATTTCAGAAACGTGCTAGCTCAACGGCCAGACAACCTAACAGTCGCTGATGCCGCCGCCGCTGAGTAGAACGCCTTCGTGAAAGATCGATGATGTCAGATGCCGGATACAGTTCGGGCGACAGTCCTGGCCGTCCTCGGTCGCACATGTCGCTAGCACCAAGACTGGTTTAATGACACTGACGCCGCCATCAGCAACCTGCTGGTCGAGAAGAACCGCCTGCCCAAAGCCTACGTCGACAGCTCCACCGCCGACAACAAAGCAGCCTTCTAACATAGCCGCCGCCTTGTGCAACAGCGGCTGCGCGAAATGCAGGATGGCCGGACAGTTTGCGACGCCGAGGAGATACATGGGTATGCGGACCGCCACGATTGGAAGAACATCTTCTCCGCGATCAAAGCTGTCTACGGTCCGTCGACGGAAGGCACCGGTCCTCACCTCAGCGCCGACAACAGTACCCTACTCACGGAAAAGACACAAATTCTACAGCAATAGGTCAACCATTTCAGAGGCCTCCTCAACCATCCCTAGACCATCTCCGACGCCGCCATCGCTCCACTGCCGCAAGTGACGATCAACGCTGACCTCGACCTCTCGCCCTCTCTCCACGAGACCGTCAGGGTCGTGCAATAACTCTCCGGCTGGAAAACGCCGGATCGCACGCGATCCCTGTTGAGATCTACAAACACGGTGGCCTCAACTCATAGATCATCTGACGACGCTCATTCAGGAGATGTGGCGTCAAGGAGAAGTACCGCAGGAATTGAAGGACGCTACAATCGTCATCTACATGAACGGAAAGGAAACGACCAGCTCTGTGAAAATCACTGAGGCATCTCCTTGCTAACCTCCGCGAGGAAAGTTTTCTTTTGCATTCTTCTAACCTCTCGAATAATCAGCTCGATCAAAGTTTTCTTCCGGAAAGCCAGTGTGATTTCCGCCGTCATCGTAGGACCACGGACATTATCTTTGCTGCCCGCCAACTTCAGAAGGAGTGTTAGGAGATGCGGCCCCACCTGCCTTCGACACGGTAAATCGTGAAGTTCTGTGGAAAATCATGCCGAAACTCAGCTGTCTCGAGCGATTCGCTCGGATGGTGCGTCAGCTTCACGATGGCATGATGGCGCGTGACACGGGCAATGGAGCTGTCTCGGAGGCATTCGCAGTGACAAACGGAATGGACCAGGGCTGTGTCCTCGCGCCCACCCTCTTCAGGCTTATGCTCTCGCCCAGGATCGTCATCCTCTACGGGACGGACTGTCAACTGCTCAATCACCGGCGTATGCACTTTCAATCACGTTTCTCTACAACAGCCACCCAAAAACTTCTGTTCGCCGATGGCTGCGCCCTTAATGTGACGACTGAAGGAGACATGTAAAGGAGCATGGACTTCTTCTCCGCCGCCTGCGAGAATTTTGGTTTGATCATCAATACGGAGAAGATGGTGGTCACGCATCAACCGCCATCCGACAGTACACACAATGCGCAGAAAATGGGCGTGAAAGTAACCCAACTGCAAGCGGTGGACAACTTCAAGTATCTGGGCAGCACCCTCTCCCGCAACAAAAAACGACGACGAAGTGGGCTGCCGGATCTCCAAGGCAAACCAGGTCTTCGGTCGTCTTCAAAACACAGTTTGAAATCGTCACAGTCAGTAACTTAGCATGAGCCTGAAGATTTAGAATGCCGTAATCCCACCTACGATGTTGTATGGAGCAGAAACCTTGTCGGTTTACGTGAAGCAGGCACGTAGACTCAACCACTTCCACCTCAGTTCTCTTCGTCGAATACTGAAGCTGACGTGGCAGGACTGGATCCCAGACACGGACGTACTCCAGCGGACGAGAATCATCAACATTTATACCATGTTTTGACAACTGCAACCACGTCTTACGAATAGGCAACGCGCGGCTACCTAAACTACTCAACTATGGAAATGTCGCCGCGGGTTCCCGCCGCCGAGATGGTCAAGTCCGGCGCCACAATTGTATATCTCCTGTGGTGAACCGCATAGACCGTAATACGCACTGGCAGAGTGATTATGTTTTATCTCGATCTTTGCTTTATTTACACAGCCTTCTTACCTCACTGAAAGCATAGGTTATAGCATGTGTTTTCAACAATAAGTTGGGTCCTAATATCAAATATATGCCAAAAACACGCATATTTGTCAAAGCCAGTGACGCTTTAATCATTTTGCTCAGTGGAGGGAATTGCAAATGTAGTCTTAACAATAAAAGCAAAGAATAAAGTAGGTTCCTAATGGTGGTCCCAAAAATATAAATGAGATGATTAAAACTACTTTTCATCTCTAAAATGAAACTTATTAATAAGGTACTGAATGTGAACCATGGAAAAGTGTATCTGTTGTTCTCTGACAACAGTAGTTACAAATGATTTTCATCTTAACTGCACGTATGCTTATGTGCTCTGCACATTTTTAAAGAATCTAAAGAGTGTCCAACGTACGACACCAGCGATTCCGTGAGGAAATATCCAACAGCTTAATCAGACAGCACATAGAATTTTAAGTGTAATCCGAATTGTTAAAAAATCGGATTTGAAAATGAACATTTTTATTGTTATATCGTTTGAACTCAGCTCGCCTTTTTTGAATTCCGCTGCATAATTACCTACCCGGGTGGTGCAATACAGTTTAAACTGCTAATGAACAAAATGCATTGTCATGTAATGCTTCTAGTTATCTCTCTAATGGCAGACAGTTCGGTCTAGACCGCAGTTAATTATAATAACCATACAACCATCTAGGCAAAACAGCTGACGCTATTCACACACGTATCTGATATTAGCAGATGAGGTAGCTACCAAGTAATTTCCTAAAGAGTTATAATATATTTTGGCAATGAACAATTGGCGTAAATGTCTCACAAATTGTACGTTCGCGCACATATTCGGAATTTTCGGCGATATGTTCCTCATCAAAAATTTAGTCAAGAAATGAAAAACTCAACTAACAGACGTCATCGACGTATTATTGTAACATTATTTTGACGGATACTGTCCCGGTAAACAGTGTACACGTGAATGCTTCGGAGAAAAATCATAATAGCCAGGGTATTTCTGATAACTAGACCAAAACAGCCAGTGGGTTATGCATTAGCAATTCAGAAAACCGCGAGAAAAATCCTCAATTAAGCTGCACGGCAGTGGCGTGAGCTCAGAGTCCGAAGAAGAAAGACAGTATGATCTGTTGCATTTTAATTTCCTTAAAAATCAACCGTGAGCTCGGAGTAAATCAGTATATTTGAAATCTATAAGCTATGGCTAAATTTTTTTGCAAAAATATTTGAGCCGAAGTCCCTCAGCCACAGCGAATATTTGCTCAATTTTCATTAAATTCTAACAGGCAGCTAGCTCTTTACTTTATGCCAGAGTGGTTCCACCCTTACAGCACAGGTGGTAGCCAAACTCCCTAACTCGTGTTTCGCCAATATTCTGCCGCTGCATTAAACAGTTGCGAGAGTTTCGGCTTGTCGTTGGGTCCTCCAGCATTCCCTGTCTGATTTCTGGTAGTGACGCCAATTTAGAAATTGTTACTTTAAAATTACCTTAGAAATTGACTGCGAACATTGAGTTAATCAGTATATTAAAGTGAATAGGCCCAGACCAAGGTTTTTGTGCATGAATATTCACACATCTCTTCTGGTCCCCTCATAGGCCCCTCATTCTGCGCGGTGAGAGGTGCCAAGCGGGTGCTGCTGCTGACGCGGAGAAGCAACGGTCTCTTAAGAATTACGGGCGTGTACGGTGGCACAAAAACGTCGCTCGCTGTCCAAGCTCAGGCGATACTTTTTAGAGCGATTGATTTTACGATAAAAATTACGCCGAACGATGTCATCCTGGCGTAACTTTTGCTTTTTTTGTCGACGTCATCCCTAAAGCCTGCTTTTGTCTTCTTTCGGGCATCAGCAAACTTAACGATGTTACTGGCATATCGGTTAAGCTTGGCGCATTTTGACCTGTTATTAGCGTGTAGACCGGAGACAGGGAAAAAGACTTTGCATTTTGTCTTAAAACTTCAGCACGATAGCACATTCTGGGAGAAAGATGGCCCACGTCATATATCTAACGCCGAATTTTGTTCCGTGGTATTGGTAGAACAATGATTTCAACCTTTACTGGACCATCCCGTTACCGTCTTCCGAAATCAGCGAACTTACTATCGTGCCTCTTTCTTGCTTTTAGACTTTTTTTGCTAAACGTACGGTGCGTCATGGTAGAGAATTTCAGGAATTGGTGGATTTGGGTCTGTTTAAGGTTATTTCGCGCTTCATCACATATGCTTTGCCGGCGTTACTCGATTATGTTGGCCGCATGATCCAATAACATAGAAGTGCTTTTGCCCTAAGAATGATTATCACAATCAGTTGGGTCAGTGCGTTATCATACGATAAAACATTCTGAAAGGAGTTCTCAGGGCCGCACTTAACTTTGCAAAATAGTTGTTGCCCTATCCACAATAGCAATGTGTTTTCGGGACCAGTAAAATTTTGTTCGATATGATCTTTTCTCACGTAGCGATTGTCATAATTCCTCAAACCGCTCAAAGTGTCTGCTTGAAGTGGAGCAGATAAGGCAAAAGTGAAATGTAAATTTACGGTTTGACAAAACTATTTGTTTGTTTGACAAATGATAAAAAGGCCCGAGTACAGTTCCCACCCATTATTTGCGCGAGTCTTTCCGGATATGACTATAGAGCACTTGCTAAATATCGAATAGATTTGAGAGAATCTGTTCGAGAAGGGCCGAATCTTAAGGGGCAAGACCATTTCTCTTCGCGTGCGATAAGCGAACCAAAGTGAAATTTCGTCGTACGTAATCCCAAATCTACAAACGTTCAAGCTGTGAGGCCATTAAAGACTGTCAGAGCAGGCACATGCATAGAAATTTATGTGTCAGGGGGCAGTTGGGATGCACGTATTCCCTTTGTCGGACGCATATTCGCATTATTACACCTCAGGACCTTGAGTTCTGAGATGTAAATTTAACGTGGCATCTTTCTGGCGACTGCACGGTGCAAAGTCCATTCACAGGCTATCAAAAGATGGTTTTTTATAAGTTCTTCAATTTAAAAAGAAATAATATCGTACTCTTATTATGCACATTCGATCGGTGTATGTTTGTTCTGATAGATATAATGGAATCACGTAACAGACTGCCGTTTATGCGGAAATGTCAAATTTGAGAAAATGGGCACAACCAGCGAGCTTCCCACCCACAGTTCGCTTCCAAATTAAAAAAGAAATTGTAAAGGTTATTTTTCACGAGTCAGAAAAATTACAGCTTAAATTTTCAGCCTGCCGAGGGCGTATTGCGAAGTTTAATTCTTTCTGTCATGAAATAGGACAAAGGTCTGCAGTCCCAGCGGTCACCACTTTCGTTGCGTTGAAAGACCTGCAATGAAGAATGCGAAAGATCCTACGTTTAAATGCCCGCATATAAGTGATGACGATATTCCCTATGAGATAATTTGCTCATGCATTAGCCCTACTGGTTCTTATGCAGAAGATTGTTCACGAAGGACAATTTATTTGCGTAAAATTTGCATGATGTATGCGGCTTTACGCTGGCATAGGCATTTGGCCGTGGCTTGCATATTTTTCCGAGGAATCTAGAAATTGTTGATCAGCATTGAGCTTAGTGATCCGCCGGATGGCAATGTCTCCTCCTGTTTCTTTAATAAGCACACAGTTTACTTTAGGGAAAATATAAGATGGTGCTAAGCATAAAAGTTAAACGCGAGTCATCGGCAAAGGATAAAGTGCTAATCTCATAGTGAATGGGAGAGTTTTCGTTTCGCGACGGGAAATGTAGTTGCGGCGACTTTTCCCTACCCAGCAAACTCTTATTACGCTGATTCATACAGATTTGGTTGGATCGAACTAGCCTGGCTTTGGAACTTTGCATATTTAGCATCAAGTCTGATTATGTTGTGGCTGCCTCTCACCCCTCATCACGAAAAGCGCCCAAACATACGTTACATTTTCACCACTTATGACATGCTCCCTTACGGACACTGATGCCATTCTCTCAATTTCGTATCAGAACTTAATGGGGCAGTTTAATGCCCGAAACCCCGTCGTATGTGAGTCCTACTGTGTCCTAAACAAGTTGACGGGACAAAGGCCGCAAGTTAATAGTTGAAAACGCTTAAAAATCAAGTGGTTAATGCAGAAATACGTACAATCATTAACATGGTCAATCAAGATTTGCCACGGTACGTGCTAAGAAAAGCTGGCGTTTTCAGTAGCGAGTTCCTGTAATAAAAACTCAATTGTTATGTATGTGCATTGGTGCTGGATCATGCAATAGGATGCCCAGGAAGTGGCAAACAGTAAAGAATAAAAATTTCTACTAATGGAGTATGGCGTTTGAGTAATGTAATTTAGTGAGCATTTGAGTATTACGCAAGGCACAGTGAACATAAGAAGGTTTTAATGGTAAATGCTTCAATGGCGCAAATACTCTGTCATCGGACAGAGACATCGGGATATAGGTTACGGCTGTAGTGGTGCAAACGGAAAGCTAAAGGAAAATATTTTAACTTCGTTATATGTCTCTGGACGTCCAGCCCCTCCAGAATACCCGTTTCTCGCCCCAAATCAGCAGTCAATCTCCCTCTTGCAGCCTGTGCATGCAGTGCAAACACAGAAGACATTTTCTTTGCAAATGGTAATCGAACAAGCCGGCGGAGAGGATATCTTAGCTTCGAGTCGCCACATGCGCAGTAATTAGCGCATGACCACCGACAGACTAGGTGCGCGTAGTCGATTGAAAAACAAGATACCACATCCATCGGAAAACATTTTCCGGTATTTCTAGGAATTGATCGATTATTTCAGCAGAATTAGCATCCTCTAATAACCTCTACCGATGAAATTCCTATGGTCAGAGACTTCAGGCCTAAGTGTAGGCATTTGCTGATACGGTGACTGGCTTTACAATTACAGAGATGATTGATCTGGAGAATCAGCTACCTCGTCGCATTAATTTACTTTGTTATGCGATGGCGTTACTTATTTCGGAGAAATTTCTTCTGATGTACAAACATAAACTTTTTGAGCAGCTTCCAAAAATTGATTAACGGTCGTTAATTGCGCCTTTGTGCATGTCTACAGTCCACTTCCTCAGCTGAATCCATGTGCTGCAGTCGACAATGCACATGGGACAGATGCCAAATAAAATCCTCGGAACTCTTAACACTGCGTAAAATGCATTTAATTTATGACAGAACTCAACCTTTTAAGTTCTAAAGACAACAATATGACAGCAGAACACAAAAAGGGGAGGATTATGATGACAGCGTAAATGATACTGCAGGGCTGAAATGCATTGGGATGCAAACTTCCTGCCAAAAATATCACCGGTTCTCGAAGAAGTACGACTTACTATTGAACTCGTTTAAACATCCATATAAACATCTTCATTTAAGATATCCAGCCCTTTACGACTCTAAGCAGTGCAGAAATTCGAAACGAAAGAGTTTGTTTTAATGAACTACGCTTTATAGAGGCAGCGAAATCGACCTTGCGCAAGGTTCGGTGTCGGAGGAATTGTCGTCAGGTCTGAAAGTCACGTATCCGTAAGATGCAGTCTATCTTGCATATTATAATACATTATCTTCACTCCACCATATGAGATATTTGCTTCGCATTTTGGCTTTGTTATTTGTTCGTTACCGGATGGTCTCCGACTTTTAACAGATCCGTAAACATTGTTGGAGACTTATCGACAAGTATCCAGAGCTTTGTGTCGTCCGCATCCATACCAGATTTCCATCCTTTCCTACCTTAAAGTCTTTGCTTAGATATATGCCTTTTTCATAAGATACGTCTACGATTTCGCACCTTTCGGGCCCCTGATACTGATAAATAATTGTGTATTTACTGCCACGTATGCATACATACATAAGTGCCAGTCAGCTGAACTAATTTATATACATTATTTTACCTCTACTACCGTTTCCTGCGACATATTACTTGTGTGCTCGTATAATTGCCGGTGCCAAGACCGATCTCACATAAACCGTGAAAACAAGTGAGCGTATTGTGCGAGTTGTTTATTAATTACGTTTTGTAATTTAGGACTTCCTAAAACGTAAATGCAAAATAAAAGTGCGCTTAAGGAACAGTCTGTTTTCACAAGGTACATTCACGTGCTGGTTTGAAGATGATGTTCCGGCTACCTATTCTGAAAGTTTGATATATGAGGATATATATGTACTTGGCTTACCATGCACTTTTGAAAAGGTTTGACTTCTTTGTAGTCGTTTATCTGCCGCTTCCAGAGAACGACCTAGCTGTTTGGTGAAAGATGCATCCCAATCACTGAAACGCGCATGTTAGCGTCTGTTCTATCTTATGTAAAGTTCTGTGTGATTAACTATTTTAGGATATGCAGTAACTGACATGTAATTAGTTCGTACAGCTTTGAATTGCGTACGGGAGCTTTTTATCTTACCTTCCTTCAGGGCGACATCATTGTCATATAATGCATAAAATATGCGCTTTACAAAATTGTCAATATTTGAACTTTCAATATTGGGAATAACTGTTGCCTCAAGAAGGATATCTATACATATACTTTTGTGTACATCAAGTACGAGGCGCTTCGGAAATGACTGTTTCCTAGGCTGTTCTTTCTTTACGCAAAGTAAATGGGGTCGTCTTACCGTTACGCAGATATGTTATTTGCGCAACAAGTTTTCTTGCCATCTGTGAGGTATCTGCCTTAAAATAAAGTTAGTTAAAATTATCAAAATTAACCTGATATATAAACAACAAAAGACATAAACTAAACAGCTATAAATTTAGGTTAACAGATTCACGCCCGCACGAGCCATGATATAGTAAATCATAAATGCGCTTCTCGCGTGACGCACAACTAGCACGAAAAGATCGCCAGCCTATCAAAGAGTAGTGCAATATAAACTATATGAACGCATATCTCGACAAGCAAATGTACAAGTAAACCGCGTCGAGTTTAGCATGCTACTAGGAAAAACAGGCATTATGAAGGGCCTGACGGTCATTAGTCGACTACGACAGGGTTCCAAATTGGCATATTAGTACAGTAGCAGGCAATCAATTGTTGTATTCATCACAGCACTTTTTCCCGCATGCAGGTATTCTTTGTTAATTGATGATTCCTCCTGTCTTATTTCCAAATGCCATCAATGCTCTATGACGCTCCCAAGCGTTTTTCGAGAGTTGGCGGGCAGTCCTGTAATGAGTGATTTGAAAATAACAAAAAGGCTTCGTAGGTGTATAGAACCCATTGTTGATTGACTAGCCCATTCTTTTAGTCTTCTCCAAACCAAATCGCCCATGGGAAGCGAATTGTCTTTATTATTCTTTTCATCACCAGACAACATGCGAGTAGTCATTCGAGGGCTTCGAAGCGTTTTATTCACCTGACGCACCCAACTACGTTAAATCGTCAGGAAGCCAAACCCTGACACCCTCATCTACCTTAGAGTTTTTGTGACTTTCTCGGCAACTTTGCCAAAATCTTGGTGGTACAACTCGCGCAATTTACATCCTTTTGCCCGTTAAGACAGCTGTTTAAACATAAAATAAGTTAAATATTATAAATTCAACAGATGTTGCAAACAGAAAATCAAGTACGAAGACGAGAAAATAATTGACGGTTTCAAAGTCATGTTCGCAAGTCTACTGCAAAGAAAATCTTAGGGGCGTCAACCTTTCCTACAAGCACGCAGCACGATTTTGCCCTGTCACCCAGTCAGCAAAGGCGCAAAAATGGTTAACGAATTCGACCGCACCATCTTTGCATCTGAAAAAGTTTCACTAAGTGTATGCAACTGTTTCGTAGTCTTATTCGGGACAGAAGTTTCGCATGTTTCTGATAATGCTGAGAAAAGTATTAACAGCGAGGTTCAGCAGTAAGGCAAAATTCGCGACTTCCTGCTGAAACCGACCAGTTTCATTTGTTCTGCGATTCAATTATTTGATGGATCGATTTTACAAATTTGATTTCACTTTATTTTGGGGTTTGCGCCACTTCGTCGTTGACCTGTAAGTTCGTATGTACTAGAAAATAGCGGTAAATTACAGTTAAATTAAGTTCGAGTATTGTTGTAAAACTAAACGGGATACAGCATAAATCTACAATAATCTAGTTAGCTCAGTGTGTCGGCTTTCGAAGGAACTTATTTTCGGCTGCATGTAAGATCTATACTCTGCAAAAAAATGACTACTTATGTGACATGCAATTTTCTCATTGATTTTCGATGCCCTTGAAAATTCAATTATATTTCATGGAAAACATGCATAAAATATTTATTCCCTTGCATTATCGGTAGACAATCACGTCTTTTTCCGATTTCATACTCAAAAGAAGATTATAGTTCGATTTTTAAAAGTTTTTAATTGTCAGACTTTTTAATACCGCTAAATGGCCGTTCATGAAAGGTCATGTATCGGCATTTACGTATGTGGCTTGTCAAGAAAACAATATTGCTCAAATCCACTGCTTAATTTTATGAACCTCATATGGTCTCCTCTTAACACAGTAGAGGAATGCATGCAGCTTGTAGTTTTTAAACCCTGGATGAGAGTGTAACAGCAGGTCGGTTTCAAAATTATTCGGGAATTAGAAAAGTTTTTGAAAACCGAATAATACTCTTCTTTTGAGTATGAAATTGGAAAAGGATGTGATGTTCTACCATGGAGGTAAAAAATGAATATTTTCATTCATGTTTTCCATGAAAAAAATTGAATTTTGTAAGGACATCAAAATATAATCAGAAAATTGCATGCTACTTAAGTAGTCATTTTTTGCATAGTTTAGATCTTGCTTGCAGTTGAAAATAAGTTCGTTCGAAAGCCGACACCTTGTGGTAACTGGATCGTTAAAGATTTATGCTGCGTCATGATAAGTTTTACAACACTACTTAATTTATCTTTTCTAAACGAGAACGCATTTCGAAATTTTGGTTGACATTTCATGAGTTAGCGCATCCACTGTATGATTTTGGCATGCATTATCGTAAATGCGCACCCATAACAAATGCCAACATTAGAGGTTCGATGGCACGCCCGGACGCAGGCTGACACCGCGCCAATTGGGAGTGAGGTTTTTCTCAGTGCATTCTGTGGATCAGATGGTGTGGTGGTTTGATAGTTCCGGGTTTTTGCCTTGTCAATCATCAACGCCCTCTCTCGCCTCGGGTTTTCTTGACCCCGTGTTGACACTGTATCCGAATGATGGGATAGGATATATCGCGGTAGATACATTGCAATCTACTATCACTATAAACTGATTCACACGCAAGTTACTAGGCCGGATTTATAACTCAATTTAATACGTCGATCCATTAACCAGGATACATTGAACTAGAGGACGGTTGCAGAAGTCCCTTTGAACATACTAAATTTAGGACTGTCAGCTAAGAATTATAAGTAAAATAGCTAAGACAATTCTTAACTGTAGTAGCTAATGTCTTGATTTATTTTGTCTTAGAGTTTTGACCTCTTTTATTATTACCCTCTATAGGTGCCAAAATCACCCGACTTCGAAATGCATACGATTATAATAATGATCTGGTTAGCTAAGGAAAAATTCAGGAACGTTACATATCAGTGTATAATATTGGTCCTTTTTATCCACATTTCAATGTGCTGGTTATCACTATTGCTTCAAAGGAGCAGATGAGACAGTCGTGTTAATTTGAAGAAGAAGAAGAAGAAGAAGAAGGTGGGCTCACCGGAACAGGTTTATTAGGATGCTGACGTTTCGAAGAGCTTGGTCGCCTCTCCACTGTCAAAGCGTAAAATGCACTCAATCCACTCAATCCAGTCGTGTTAATAGCCTTATCCTCTTTTGTCGCAGATTCTCCGTTCTTACTCGCAGTCTCCACCATCATCATCATCATCATCATCATCATCATCATCATCATCATCATCATCATCATCATCATCATCATCATCATCATCATCATCATCATCATCATCATCATCATCATCATCACAAGGAGTAAGAACATCAGTTCATTCTTCCATATAAGGCCGCCTTTCGGTTTGCAGCCATATAAGATTATAGGGTAGTTTATTCCATTGATGATCTGGTTACTGCATTTCTCCAATAAACAAGAAATAGAGGTTCAGCTAAACTTAACGAACCTTGATGCATCAGGTTTAAATGACGATCCTGATCCTTAATGCTCTTCACACCTTTATTGGAGTTCAGTAGCAACTAGAGTAACTGTGTTGATTGTTCTATTCTCTTTCATTGTAGGTTTTTTGCTCTTCCTGTTATTCTTCATGGGCGGCAACAAATTACCCGATCTCAAAGGATACGTCTGTCTGGTGACGGGTGCCAGTCGTGGGATCGGTCGCGGCATCGCGCTTGCTCTGGGCGAGTGCGGCGCCACTGTATACATCACTGGGCGCACACTCAAGCCAAAAGCCGACGCTAAGGCGGGCGATGTAGGCGGGAGTCTGGAGGAAACGGCTGCAGAGGTTACATCGCGCGGTGGGGTACGCTTATTTCCACACCTACCTCACATGATGTCCTCTCTTTCGTTACCCTTTGGCTTTTTTCGCCTTTACCTCCGGGTTTTGCCTCCGCGCAGCAGTATCATGATAGTTTTATAGATAGTTCTTCAGACGCGCACAGAACGATAACGCGATTTTCCACTATTCATCCCACCTTTCATTAATTTGTTTGACTTCTTCCTTGGCGAGTAAGTTTACTGATAATATGAAGCATTCATCGACCCCTCCCCAGTATTTGCGACTGCCTAAAACGTATAAAAGTTTGCACATAATGAGTTTACTATGCTGTCAACCTAGTTTCCAGCCAATTTTGTGGATGCTTGTTCCGCATACTTCCGGGAACACTCAGGGTTCAAGTACGAGTAGTCCTACTCTTCGTCGATTTCTGAAGGGTCACCACGACGGTTATGATAGCTCTTTAGTTACCTACAGGCCTGACCTTTTACTTTGTCCGCCAGCGTAGACTAATCCATAAAGACACGGTCAGGTTTGGTAGGATTTGACATCAGTCTACACTTTGAGGCTTTATAGTCTGTGCTTTTCCGAGAATTTTGCGGTAATGGTATTGACTTGCAAAATATGCACCGGAACTCCTTTATTGTTGGCCATGCTATTTTCTTCCTGTTTCGCGCCGATGGAGCACATTTCCAAATGTGACGCCACCGAGGTTGTCGGTCGAGGGGATGATCACACGTCTAGGCAGCTGCAAACAACTTGAATGCCCGCCAACTGTCCAGTCAACCACCAAATTGACCTTCCTCCCCTAGCTGGGTTAGCGAACCTTCTTGATGGGTGTGCAAATCGTGTGCAATAATCGGGAGGCTAACTATCGCCGCGGTCAACGAGAACAGGGGGGACAAATGTCATAGTGAAGCAGGGGCCAGACCCAGTCCCCAAAATCGGCACTGACGTCCATATAAGGAGGGCTGAGCTCAAGACCTCGAGGATTGGTAGGTGGAATCACTAGTCAAATCACGAGACTTGAAATGAACACCCCTTCTCCGTTTGAGGTTGCCCATTTCGTCAACCTGGCTGCCTTTAAGAGTGGGCGCGCCTCCGCCTCGTCTGGCTTTCGCCGCTTTGACATTGAAGCCAGGCACCCTAGCCACCAAATGCGAACCTTCTTAGAATACACTCAACGATGTTTTTAAGATGGAACCAACACTACGGTTAGTGGAAGTACAGAGGAATATCGAGCATGTGGGACGGATCCAAAAGCCGACGATAGAGACAGCGATGTAGGCGGGAGCCTAGAGAAGACGACTGCAGAGGTTTCATCGCGCGGTGGGGTACGTTCATTTCCTCGCTTACCTCACATTATGTTCTCTCTATTCTTGCCCTTAGACTTCTTCAGCTCCGCTACCGTAAAAAAATAAATATGGCAAGCAAAGCTTAACAGCGTACTCGGGGTTTGGTTTACCAAAGCCATTTGCTAGGTGATGTTGTAATGGATCCCTGGAATATCCCAGAAACAGTCAAAACTCGATAATGCTCGTCTGCGGCGCTGTTGTAATGAGGCGTGCACGTTGTTCATGGGCCTTCTGCCCAGCCGTTAGTAGGTCATGACCACTCAGACGGTTTCTCTTAGCAATTTTCTAATTCAGAAGAATATGCAATCATTGGTACGAGACGCTTATTGGCTTGGTGTTTCAGATTCGCACTCGAACTCAGCATCTGAGGTAGTCGCCGATCAGGGTAGTGTTGGCACCAAGACTGCAGTTTTTATATTATAATTCAGCAACCTTGTCTTCCTTTTCACTGCAGTGCGTTTCATTGTGCCGATAGAGCGTCCTCTGCGAATGTCTCTGATGATGGATTCGAGTGAGAATCCGAAACGTCAGGCAAATAAACTTCTTGTCCCAGTGATCGCATATTCATCTTCTGAACTGCTTTTGTGATTGGCCGATTGGTTACTGCTGAAGTTCGGCTCTTACGTTGTATTTATCGCTTTGACGGGTACTGAGAGCTAGTGACTACCCGCGCAACTTTATCAACCACTGCATGTGCAAACGATACCGGAGACTAAATCTTACCAGCTTCCAAATCTGACGAGCTCTTACGCATGTGAAGAACGCATCGTAAGCCGTAAGTCGCCTTCTCACTTCACCTGAAGTGGGGGTTGCAAACAGACTGGAAGCGACTATCAGGCGTCAAATCATGAGGCCGAAAGACCCACTGTCGTGGCAAAAAACGTCTGGAGTCGTTTGCTGGATCCCTTGCAATTGCGGACAGAGTAACTGCGTCGAAAAAACTGGGAGATTATCTCGGACGCGGATGACTGAGCACGAATTTCGGTGGGGGAAGAAAGACACCAGTTCTCGGGTGGCGGCTCTTTCCACGGAAGCCAGCCGCATTTTCAAGTTTCAAGCGACTGTAATCATCTTAAAAGATTACAGCCGCGTGAATCGCAAGCAGTTCAAATCATGGTTCCCAGGCCCGCAATCCAGCAACAAGCGTAATAATCCCTCGAAACCATACTCAGGGCCGAGACGTCCACTGAACAGGTAAATCAGTCACGTGGCGATTGCGCGAGCGATCAACAATCACGGTGACAGATGATGAAATTGCGGCAATTAATGACGTGGCTGCGCACTGACGGGCCATCATAACATCAATTATGACCTATAGTGACGATCACAAGAGCTCTTAATTAGAGTACACATCTGGCCCAACGGTAGCTATGTCCTATAACTACTGCAGTCTTTGTGCCTCCACTACTCTTATCTGCGAATATCGTCGATGCTGGATTCGAGCGAGAATCCAAAATTTCAGGATAATAACCCTCTTGTTCCAATGATCGCATCATCTTCTTCTGAACTACTTCCCGGAACTCGCCTGTCTGCTTCTATCAACAATTTTCTAACTTTGAACTGTGGCAAACGAAAACCAATTGCTGGCCCTCTGTTTAGCTATGACTGTGAGCACCATGGAATGTTGTTGATGGCGTAACTGTGATCTTGCATTGTTGAATTAACCGGCTCTCGCGTTTGTATAAACGGCGCGTGTGCGCGTCACATGGGTAATTATTGAGTTAGTGGCCTTGTTTAAATGCATGTGCACGGTTTCTTGGCGACTGCCACAAACGTTCTTGCCGTCAGCTGCATTACGTGTAGTGTGTAGTACCTACACTAAAACCAACAGGGTGCATATATATATATATATATATATATATATATATCAATCAGGAATGGGCGCACACCGATCTATTGGCTTCACAAAGCAAACAAGCTCCGTATGTGTGGCAAAGGTCACGAACAGGCAACCAATTACCAGGCTGAAGTCGGCCAAGACATAATAGCAGCGAGGAGGGACGACAGAGAATGCGGGTAGATTGATACAGCACTGGTGGCGAGGCACTGATGAACTTCGGTTCGATGAAGTGCTTATGACCCATCTGGTAGGCCTCAGTGGTGGACCGACTGCACCAGGTGCGTCTCTGCGCATGTTTGTGTTTCTGGTCGCAGCTGTTGGTGGTCAGGGTTATGATTGGCTGAATGAAGGCAGAATAAGCCTGAAACAGTGCTGTATCAATCTACCCGCATTCTCTTTCGTCCCTCCTCGCTGCTATATATATATACATATATGTTTCCTCTTTGTCTACTCATTTTGCCTTGTTATATTTGCGGAATGCTCCTGCACAACGCCGTGGACCACTGGCGCTATATGTGGCATGAATTTGATTCTTAAACGGCCCTGCGGTAGATTCGGTGGACCACCACGGGTAGGAATGCGCACCCATGACAAATCCTGATGGCACGCCCGACTGCGGGTCCGTGCCACGGCAATTCCGATCTGAGAGGCCTTCCCCCTTTTTGTTGTACAAAATCATGCTCAGTGTCCGGTTGTGAACCAGGAGGTGGTAGTGCGTCTTGATGCGAATTTTCGCCTTGCCAGACCCTTGCTTTGTCTCCAGCCTCCTGTCTTTTTGACTCTGTCTTGACACCGGCCTTGGCCCAGGTGTGAAGAGGAGAAGGCAGTATGGTAGATGTGGCACAAGTCTGCCATCACTGTCACACACAAGTCGCCGTCCCTGCTCTCATCCTCCTGCTGTGGATCACACTGTGTCTGGATGCTTTTGCGGCTGATGCATTCATACCATTATTCATCTCAAGTTTAAATGGCCGCGGGCTCTCTCATACTGATCGGTTTAGAGTTTCCGTCAACAATAAATTTATTTCACTCCGCTTACGCGTGCCAGTTAATGTTCAGTTCTTTCCTCCCCCGCCTCCTCACAGGTGGCTATTCCCGTGGTCGTCGACCATTCCGATGACAGCCAGGTGATGGATCTTTTTTCTCGCATTCGCCGCGAGCAGAACGGTCGCCTCGACCTCCTCGTGAACAACGCATTCGCGGCTGCCGGCTACATCTCCTCACACATTGACCTGCCCTACTGGGAGCTGGAGGCAGATGATTCGCCCTCAAAGGCCTGGGACATCGTGAACGGGGTCGGACTGCGAAATCACTACATCTGCGCCACTCTGGCTACACGCATGATGCTGGGGTATCGCGGGCAGTTGACCACCGGGGGTGCCGGTAATGAGAAGGAAGCCAGCAGTAGTGGGAAGGATTCTCAGGAGAGCGAAGGCAGCCAGCGTCCGGGCCTCATCATCAACATTTCCTCCCTCGGTGGTCTACGCTATCTTTTCAATGTTGCCTACGGTGTTGGTAGGTCTGCACAACTTATTTGCTTACAAACACCCCTCCCATAATGGTTCTCAATCGTCCTAATTGCGGGGGGGGGGGCATTGTTCTCGCAGACGATTGTCCATGATATAAATTTATCACAAAATTACACGAGTTTTTTGTGAAACAGCGTGCGTGCCCTGTTCATGTTTCACTACAGGAATAGGTGAAAACGCAGATTTTGCTTCGAAATGTGGATGAATTATTGAAATGTTTTAATGGTAATATATGTAAAAAATTAACTGTACGAAGCTGTGCGTTTCTACAAAATAATTTCACGAAATGCAATTGGCTTGCATGTTAGGAGGAGTCGTACTAACGGGCCGAATCAATAAACTTTGTCTCCTGGAGGGGCCAGTTAGTGTTTGCAGTCATCTTGGCATGGTCCTGACGTCGATCCAGCTAGCTACAGTGTTGACGTTTATTTTACAGCAAATATTTGCCTACCTTTTTCGAAGTGGTCTCGCTTGCTGCGTTAACATGTAAGTCTGTCTGTCTTCAGTCCAGTGCAAAACCTGTCTCCTCTTTAGAGCAATCTGTACCTTGTGCGGCGCTAAGAACTTGAGCAGCTTCAGCCAGACAGTGTTCTGCAGCCAGTTAACTGCTCTGCATCGGCCTCAGCAATTTTGGCCGGCTAAAAGCCACCGTCTGAGCTTGATTCGTCCACTACTGTTCTGTACGCGCACAAGTGCCCCCACTCCCCAGCAGCGTCAGAAGATATTTTTGTTAAACTAAATGATTAAACTTGTTTTTCCAAGCTAGATCTATCTGATGCATATGTCAAACTCCAGGTGACTGAAAAGTCCTCGAAGCTTCTAATGATTAAAACGCATCGTGCTTTGTTCCAGGTAAAACTGGTCCCGTAATTTTCCAATAAACCATGGATGCCGTGCTTGTGAACAGCGTAATAACCTCTGCCTATCTTAAGGATACCATTGTCACGAAATGGAGTCCAGATGAATTATTGCAACGCCGGGATACTGTACTTAGCCAGATTTGGTACTGTGGTCAAGTGTTCTTTTCTCGCGCCTTCCATAAATTACATCGGGTTCATAATCGACCAAGACTATCGTCTTCCCAGCCCCAGCTAACATTGTCCCCATCAGGCGAATGTCTCCGCCAAATGGATGTCATTGCCTTTCGCTCTCGGGCCTAATACAGCAGATGGGCTATCTCGGAAAAATGTAAACTTAAGTTCCAAAATGCGTTGTCTATTTAAAAAGGCTAATTAAGTAGGGTTGTAAAGTTAGACATCCTGCAGCATAATTATATAATAGATTTGCGAAAATTCCCATCGAATAAATCAAAAGACAATTTGGCGAGCATACGTAAGCTTTTGATAAATTCTCACCAAGCCTTTGCATTTATATTGTTATCGAAGTAATTAAAAAGACAATGCGGGCAAGCAGATGTTTTTCTGTAGCTGGGGTTGGGGGGAGGGTTTGGGTGGGTGAGGTGAAAAATAACCTTCCTCCCAAACCCCAGCTGCAGAAAAACTTCTGCTTGCCCGCATTTTCTTTTTAATCACTTTTGAATGTGGATTATGTTGTACATTTCACAAGGGGCATTAGTAAATGGAGTTGTGTGACGCTGTATGTATGGACATTGCACGGTCTGAAATATTTCATTAATAGAAACTTTTTCAAAACCTACATGTACGCCTTCTTTGGGTATAAAATGTACAGTCAATGTCATTTTATACCAAGCAACTAAAATAAATCATATTCTTGTGTGTGCTTTCCATAAAAAATATTTGAATTTATAAGTCCATCGAAAATAAATGTGAAAACTGCATGCTACTTAGGTAGTCATTTTTATTAAGTGTGGTTCCCGGAGGAGGTCGAAATGAAGTGCATTCAAGAGCCAAAATCCTGGCAAGTCCGCAATACTATGGGAGTATGTTGCTTGATAAGCAACCTTACAACCCCACCTAAGTAATCCGTCCTAATCGAAAACGCATTTCAGAATTTCGGCATACACTTTATCCGATAGGTCACGCACTGTAACAGAGGACAATTTACACCAGACGCCTCCGTCTAATTCGGTGAGCAGGCAAACAATAATCACTTGCGTTCGTTATCGTTTCACCTTCATTCCAACCGCCAGGTTGAGCCTTTTCGTGACACTTCCGAACGGGCACTCCAGAAGTCAAAGGGGGGGGGGGGAGTGGATACTTTTGTCGAACTATGAGACAACCCCGAACCCGAGTTTCCTTAACGGCGCCTCATCTACTGATACTTTCATGCAAAGGCGACTTCGCACACCATTCGACGCCATTCACGCAACGCCATCGATCGGCAAATAGCAGGATATTTTGCGTGAAATATCCCACCCGACTTCAACGAGAGGGTAATTCAACCGATGCCACGGAGCTCAGAAACGGTCGTCCCCTCCAGGTGAAGTGGTGGCAAAAGGCTACAGGAGGAATCAGGAGAAGTGGACGCCTGGAAGGCGACGACTACGCGATTCTTTTCGGATCGGAAATTTGGGTACGCCACACGAATCCGTTGAAACACGCTGAATTCATTGAAATGCCGAATCCAGGCCTAAATCAACTACCGGAACTACTACTGGACACATTCGATTAACCAGAGCCATGACAAGAGACCACTTAGACGATCAGGCCGAAAACTAACCCAAATCATGCCATTTCAAATGGACCCTTGGCACAAATCGTGCTATTGAATCGTAAGGAGGGAGATGTTAGGAGTAAGCGCCCTAACCGACTCGCTCACTTCGCCTTCCTGATTATCCGTCCACATGACGTGCACGCGCTGATGTCGCTCTACCTCCCGACAGGCCTGGAGGGTTATCCAATCAGCTAAATTAGTCAGAAGTCCAACTGGCACACTAACCACCCAAGGACAGTATTTGATTGGTCAAACCGCAGTCCGACCTTCGACTTCCCCGTACGGCCCTTTGGCTGCCTTACATGTGCCGTTAGAATACGTCAATACACTTCTCTACTTCTGCAGTTATGTTGAGTTCTGGTTTGGCGACTCTGTCAAGAAGAGTTATTGAACGGCTGAGCATCGGGGCGTTCACTCTTTTTTAGAATATTATTGCGGCAAAATAAGCATTAACGCTGGTTAAGTGATGTCTGTCTCTGTGTCTACTGCAAAAGTGAACAAGGACGTCCACGGAAAAGGCTAGAAGGTCAGGAGGAATAAAGTAACTGTAAGGCGTACCTCCTGCTAATCATTATTGCGACCTATTTCGTTACTTTGATAGAAAGCATACTTTCTCTTCGGTGCATATTTCCTCGTCCGTTGAAGGATTTCTTGGTAATAGCGTCATTGTGAATGGTTACTACTGCCTATTTCTCTACACAGGTGGGGATATGACTTGAACAGGAAGCCAAGCGACTCTCTGCCATGACCCACCGTAGCCTTGTTTCGGGTGATCCCTTCGGGATAGTCTAAATTACAGAAAATGAACAGTTAGAATGTCCACATGCCGATAGGGATTATTAGCTAGGAGCATCGATAGGCAGAGCTCCATTCGAAATCGACTTGAGAGAACGTGAAATGATTATAAACTGTGATGGCTGTGGTCGAAGCTTATCCTAACCTCAACAACGGAAACCAGAACAGGTCACTACTCTTTCGAATTCTGAATCACATAATTGTGGACTTATTTCTGACTTCTAATGTCGTATACGTACCGCATACTAAGTCAGGGTCTTCTTTATTGGGTCTACTTCTGCCAGGCTCTACAGCATTGTTCAAAGCGGAATTTACGCCAGCATGTAAACAACTCGTTGTGTCGTCCAAACTGGTCATGCGTTAGATGTGCTGAACCAACGCGGGGACCATATTGTATTCTGAGAGGCGTTATCATATTGCGCACCATAACAAACACTAACATTTCAGGGGGGGGGTAGCAGATCCGGGTGCCAGCGGACGTCACGCACCCCGGCAGCCCCCCCCCCCCCCACCACTCCCACCGTTGTTCGGTCAAAAACTTAGCCATTTGCCGTGTGGGCCAGAGGGCGTGGCGTGCAGCGTCAATGCGCATGCCCGACCGTGCTATCCAGCTGCGCCCTCCCCCGCCTCCGGTCGTCTTGACCCCTTCTTGACACCGGGCCAAGGTGGGGGGAGGAGGGGGGAGTGCGATAGGTGCTGTGAAAGTCCGCTTTCACTATAAACTAAGTCACGCACAATTTCCCGTTCCTGCGTCACTTTGCTGTGGAGCACACGGTGGACACTGTCGGCATCGCTGGTTGAGCTATCTTATGCAACTGCTTGTTGCCGTAAGGTGTTTTTCGCAAACTGAGCTTGACTATTTCCTTTCTGGCTTCATTTTTGCCAGTTTTTCGCCAAACACGTCATACTTCCAATATCTGCAGATGAACACAGGTTATTAATTTATGGAAGACAGTGGGACGTAGGCTTCATAGCCCAGCTGGTGACAAACGTCAGCTGTTGGACCGCCCAAAGGCTGTTCAATGGAGCTCGCAATCGATGGTGTCGCTTACCAATGGACTTGATCGTCTGCGCAATATGCTTGTGTTTTTATCTTATACTTTTAGCTACTTCGCCAGTGGTTTTGTCCACTTGCGTGACTGTTTTCACTGCTTTTTTGCCCCACTTCATTGTTTTTGATGACGTAACACTGAAGGTGCAAATAAAATCGTCAATTACGCATGTAAACGGTTGTGCAACTGCGTCTTTATTTCCTGTTTCTTTTTCAGGTAAGGCCGCGATGGATCGCATGGCTGCCGATATGGCTCACGAACTTCAAGAGAAAAAGAAAGATGTGGCAGTTATTTCACTCTGGCCCGGTATGGTCAAGACAGAGCATATGCTGGAGCATGCGGCGAACCGCGATTCTCGATTCACGCTCTTAGAAGAAAGAGGTACCTGTCCCCTTTTCATGCTTGATTCAATTCCTTTTCCCCATCTTCTTCATGCTCCATACGGCGGCACTCAGCAGGTCCTTTCTAAATTATTGTCAGGCTCAAATCCATGCGCCCTGCCGTTGTTGTCAGAAGTTACGCATAACATTCAACAACCTCTCTAATCTTTAGTTTTTATTAGACAATGGAGGTAGGTCGATACAAGCGAAGATGCTAGTTCTGGGAAAAAGTTGATAAGAAGATGAAACGATCGCGGAATAAGTGCTTTATTCGACGGACGCTTCGGATTCTTACTCGAACCCATCATCACAGACAGTGGTAGAAACGGGTGATTTGCGCACAGAAAATTGCATTATTTATATGATGCAGTCACTATACTACCGCATACCTTTGATGATTAACCGCTCTGCCCTTCAACAAGCGTTGTTGCCCGCTGGTGCGCTAATTGCTTGATGGCCGGCATGCTAGTTGTTAATTGCTGAAATCTCATTACCCGTGTTGGATGCTGGTGTGATGATTGCTCGGCCATCTGGTTCACTGGTCTGCGCACTGCCCGTGTGGTTAATTACTTTGGCCAGCCCATGCCTCAGCACAGAATATGAAGTGAGGCTGTCGTCACTTTTCATGATAGACTGGCGTCCCCTGAACCATGACTTAAGTAACTCGCGGCTCAAGCGATTATCCTCTCTCACGAGAAGTTCGGCCTCGAACTTGAATGTGACGCCGGGTCTCGTAGAATGGGGGGTGACGTGAGAGTTGACGTCATTTCTCCGCACCGCTGCCGCGTGTTCGGCGATTTGCGTCCGGAGCGGTTTTCCGGTTTCTCCGACGTAGTTGCTTTGTCCACAAATGCACCGGATCCGGTAAACGACTCCGGATGTTTTTTGCCGTGGCACTGGGTCTTTTGGTCTCATCACCTGAAGCCTTGCGGTGGACTGCGATTTGTGTTTAACTCCAATCCCGAGTAGTGCTAGGAGGCAACTAACAGCCTCGGAGACGTTCTTGATGTGCGGGATCGCTCGCCAGAATTTGGAGTCAGTACGATTTTTTCACTCTATTCGTTTGCGCATGCACTGTTTCTGTGACTCTCTGTTGATAGGTTCAAGTGAAAATCCCAAACATCAGGCGAGTAAAACCCTTGTTCCGCAGTTTTTGCAATGACTGAATGTATCCGAGTCTGAATCTATTGGGCCATCAGTAGGACAATAAAGCTGTTCGAGAAATTGAGGCCTACTGTTCAAGCTGATTTTGGGTGTGTCCGGTGTTTGACGATTCACTCGCCCGAGCCACTTATAGGAATAAGGGCTTAGTAGCTTGGATACCTTTGGCATCGGAGTAAGTTAGTTATCACCGTTCATTTCCTTACTCGTATGGGGCAGGTGCGAAATGTGGGTATTTTTGTGTCACGTCGTGTTTGCTCGACTTATCTCCCGATGGCTGAGTGCGGTCTACATGTTTACATGTCAATCTTTACAGGGATGAATAAGCAACATATTGTCATAGCGCGTAGGCGGACTCTGTCGGGACTGCTGACCTTACATTTCTTTCCTCACTCTGATACGTCGCTTTCCTCCCTTTAGGTGAATCACCGGAACTGACGGGTCTTGTTATTGCACATCTACTCGCCGAACCAAAGGACAAGTTACTTTCACGATCCGGTCGCGTTGTTTTCGTGGCAGATACCGCACTAGAGAAGGGCATCCGTGACATAGACGGCAAACAGCCCACCAGTCTACGCTCGCTGCGCTTCCTCTTGGAGTTGGCCGGCCGGAACAGTCTCTCCCGCACTGTACCAGAGTTCGTGCGCCTTCCCTATTCCGCCTTCACTCAGATGAATTCCAAGTTCTGATCACGGTACTCCGGACTCAGTTGATGTATCGCCCTCTTAGCTATTTTTTCGTCTTTTCAAGTGTAGTTGCTTCTGCGTAGTGATGTTGTCAGCCAGGTTTGCATAAAAATTGGATTTTACAGACGCTCTTTGAATTATGTCCGGTTTTTTAGTATTTCTAGCTCGAGTGGTGCAAACGCCTGATGCAGACCTATTTACAGCAATCAGGCAATCCATTCTAGCCACCCGCGCACGTCACCGCTCAGAATTTGCATCATGGAATCGGGGATGTAGATAAAACCTCGCATTAGCGGCCGCAGGTCGGACAAGTTCTCAAACCCTGGCTCTATGTCTTACCGTACGACTTGCTAATTAATAGAAATTGCACTACCTACTTTTACGTTGACCGGACGGCTCAGCGTACCCTGCTGCACTAAATGATAAAAACTTCTACTTCACTGTCATCCTTAAGTGCCAAAACATTACATAGGGTCACACCGCAAAGATCCAACTCGAAAACCGAAGTTAAACCGCTTCTGGCATGTGGGAAATAAGTCTGGCCGGGCTACTTAACGTTTGGTGTTGGAAAGAAGTAAGAACTGTGTACGGTTGGGGGATTCGGCAGCGCTGTACGAAAGAAATAACGTGCTTCTATCAGAAGATGATCAGAATTTCCAAGACAAAACATGTCGAAAGCCATCGAGTCAAAAATGAAATAAAAAGATGTATTTGTCGAATTACCATCTTAGCGGGATGGAGAAGGTGGAATGACGGAAACTTGGTACGCCTACACTCGACAGGCGACAACCAAAGTTGAGTCAGGCTGTGTGGATAAAGAAACTTTCCCAAAGCACAACGGAACGAATGAGGTCCGTAACGAGATCGGTGAGCGTTGCCTTTACCATTGTATATGGTCGATCGCAGTCCACAGGACAACGAGCCCATAATTCAGTAGTTACGGCGTTGGAATTTTAGCCAGTAGGTCGCGAGATCAAGCCCCAGGGGTTACGCACCTCTGGGTTAGTAACGACTGGCTGATGACGGCTGACAAGCCGGGAATGACCATGCCAGTCTCCCTTACCTTTGTAAGTAATGCTGCAGGCCTTTTAGTCAGAGTTAGCCCAGGATGTATCGGGTATGTCATATCGTGGAAAAAGCTGTTCCTTCAATACCTTTGAGCTTTGAATTCAGTCGAATTGTCGTATTGTTTATAAAGAGATAAAACCTTTAGCAGTAGAAAAGAAAACACTAATCATGCATTCTGTGATGCACACACCCTCTTCAAGACAAGAGAAAATCGTGAAGAAAAAGACACGATCATCGGGAGAAGATATTTATTCGCCTGAAGTTTCGGATTTCGCCTTGAACCCATAATCAGAGACAAAAACATACGAATGGTTAATGCACATGGGGCCGCAGTATTCAAAGGATGCAGTCGCCATGCTACTGCAAACCTATGAATACTCGCGGCTCCGTCCATCATCAATGTAATGACTGTTTGATGGTCGACATTCGCGTCGTTAATTGTTGCAAGTTCATCACATGCGTTGGATGTTGGTGTGATCATTGATCGACCGACTCTGGTGTTTGGAACAATGCTCACATGTGCGCTCGCCCCATGGCTAATTACTCCGCTTAGGCAAAGTCTCAGCAACGGTTCTAGAAAGGGAATGGCATGGCCCTTGTCAATAGACTTTTAGAGAGTTCGAGCACCTTAAACTGGGATCGAATACTCAAAGTTTCACAGAAACCAGAATTCGAAATAAGCAAGATATCGGAATTTTCTCATTTCATCTGTGAGGATATTCGGAATTAAGTCTCAATATTAATTGTTGGCGGGCCTCAGGAATGCAGTGGGAATGCTCTCTTAGTCAATGGCTAAATCTACTTTTGCTAGATTATGTAAAGCACAATTGCACCTAGAAAACGTCGCAATATCATCATTAATATCCATTGTCTGGGAAGGGGTATGCGTTCAAACGACAGCGCTAGCCCATACGTCTTTGAGAGCTATTTGGATCCACAAACCAGTAGCTCCTGATGGTTTGAGTCCAGCATACACGTGAAGGATGGTTTCTAACCTAAAGGACGAACTGGAGTGAATTAAACTATCCTTACTGCGTCTTTAACAAACAAGCGGAGTCTTCGGTGATTGACAAAGCACCCAATTAGGACGTGAATAATACTGGTGTCATGATGGATGGGGATGCTATAAACATTTTCACGTAGTATCAAGAGAAGAGTTAATTTACGAGAGAGACATTGGAGGAATTTAAAAGACGGGTTAAGCAGGATACTGGAAATACTGAGCCTCTCTTACGGAAATGTATCTAAAAGCAAGTACAAATGAACACCTGTTGTAGGATCTGAGATTATCAGTACAAAGCGGATGGATACGAATGGTTAGGAATGCATTTTTAGGTTTGTTACGGTCGACGACTCAATGGGTAATGGGGTTGTCGGATGTGATAGTTAGAGAAGCGGAAAGGGGAGTGTACTTACCTAAAAGAGAGAACAAAAGCAATTATATTGTGTTGCAGTGCATGAGAACCAGAATCATAAGTATGGGTCAAGGAGGATTCTTACCGCTGTACCATTGTAGCTGCCCGATCACAACCAACAGGATAACGAGCCCTCGGCTGCACACCTCGAGACTGTTGATGGCTGATTGACGTGAGCTAATGAGTCAAAAAGTGTCATTTTAGTTTCCCTTGTCTTTGTCAGTACTGATGTAGACTTTCTAGTTAAAAATAACTCAGGATGTATGAAGTTTGTCACGACTTGGAAAAGTCCCACCTTTTATGCCTAGGAACTTTGGAATTCAGTCAGACCTTCTTATTAATGACAAAGAATTAAAACCTTCACTAGTACACGAGAAACTACCTGTCGTGCGCTTGGTAAAGCAAACATTCTCCTAAATGAAACATAAAACCACTTAATATGAATATTACTAAACTGGGTTCGAATACTGGTCGCATAGATACCAGAAGTTCCACACTTCGGAAATGGATATGACTGGCTGGCGACGACTAAAAAGCTGGAAATGACCATTGCAGTCTCCCTTGTCTGTGACTGCTATAACCCCTAAACTCTCCTCCACATTCCCGCACGCGACCGCTGTTTTAAGGCGAACTTTAATCGACATATCTTATCACTGATATGTTTTTACTTCTACCCCTTTCCCATATAATTGTACTGGCCCGACAAGAATTTATCGAAAGCTACATATGCTCGCCACCTCGTCTTCTGATACCGCTATGGGAATTTTCGCAACTCTCCTGTCTTTGCCCATAATAACATTCTGCCTATATCATGTGCCGCTGCGCGGCGGCTGTTTGAACTCGAGAGCGGGCCAGTAAAGTAAAACGGGGCGAGTGAGGCCGGAAAAGGCGATCGGTGAGCGCCCCTCTACCGCTCTATACTTACGATCGTAAGCGACAGAACAACGAGCCCGTGTCTCAGTGGTTAGAGACGTCAGACTTCTAACTGACAGGTTTTGAGTTTAAGCCCCTGTTTTTTAACACTTCGGAGTTGGATATGACTGGCTGACGACAGCTTATACGCCGGAAATGTTCACTCCAGTCTCCCCTCTCTTTGCCGATGATAAACCAATTAGGTAACTGTAAACGTCAGTAGGGTGTGAAGAATAGTGGGACTATGGTGGACGATAATGGCATAAAAGTCTGCAGTTATTATCAAGGGTCGGCGTGAATTTGTAAGAAAGGACTTAGAGGAGGACAAAGACGGGCTATGCAATGCATCAGAAAAATTGAGCATCCGGCCCAAAAGAATATCAAGAAGCAAATACAAGTAATCGATTGTTGTAGAATCTAAGATCGTCAGTACTAAGCGGAATGATACAAATTGACAGGAAGACATTTTGAATCAATGGGCAAATGTGGGCCGTCACATGAGATAGAAGGTTGAAGAAGAGAAACTTGGCAGAGCCCCTACCTAAAACTGAGATCAAAGGGGTCGCTGGATCAACGGTCAGCCAGGCTACCGTTGTCCCTAGTAACCTCACACCCGGTTCAAAGTGTGTCATAACATCGGGGACGCTGGACACCCGCGATACACCGAATAGGTTGGCAGATAAGGCCGTGTTCCTGCTGCCCAACTATCAACCGTTGAGAATTCGTATTTAAATGTTTATTGGTGTTTTTCAGATCTAAGTAATTCATTCGAACCAGTCAGTAAAAGGTCAGTGACTCCAGTGGGATTCGTATTCAGGACAGCAAAGACATGACTTAGGTAGAGCCAATCCTCTAGTCACCTGGTGTACGAGGATTTACCGGGAGCCGTGGGTTTTGTCGCAGTTGTGTCAATTTAATCGCCCAGTCTACTGCAAATATGGAATCCACTTAATCCCACACAGTTGGCTGACTGCCTAAGCAGGACCTCCTAAGCGGTCAATCTAGAATCTACCAGCTGACTACCAGGCTAACGTAACCTGCCAAAAACACAAGGTAAATAAACGAGCCTAGTAGCCATCTGATGGGCTCAATATTAATTGCTTAGGGAATCCAACTATGGCAGTCAGCGTACTGTATTCGAATTGGTAGATTTCATACGTTGTAGTAGGCGGGGCGGGTAACTTGACGCAAATGTGATAAAACTCACGGCTCCCGGTGGGACCTCGTAGCCCAGATGGCTAGAACGTTGGCTGCACCAAAAATTTTCCCCTACTGACGTGGGTTCGAGTCGCACCGAAGCCGGCGACTTTTACCGCGATTAGATCAAGTGAATTTTTCAAATCTGTCAAATGCATTAAGATGTGTTAGAGCGATGTGCTAGCTACTGCCGAGGCAGTGGCTATACGGCTAGCGCTGTTTTCATAAGACGCTGGCACAGGCGCTCTGTCTTCCGTGGCCAACGCCGACCCCAAATGATGATTATTCGCCGCCTCAGCCCTCTGATGGCAGTGATGTGTGCTCAATGTAGCCGACTAACAAACATTATACACACCCTATATCACCCTCCTCCTTCTGTCCCTCTGCGACCCAATGACTGTAACTCTCCTC